TTCCATTACCAAGAAAGAGCCAAGACCAAGAGAAAGACAAGGTTTGAAACTTTTCATAAATTGCAGTAACACATTTTTAACAAATATTCAACTGACCTAACCATAATAAAGTATCTTATAACAGCACTTCATACTTATGTCTGTTTTCACATACAATAGTTCTTATATTGTATTATGTTTGAGTGTCTGCATCTCAGACATCAATTGTGAACTCATGGAGAGAAAGACTATGGCAATCTTTTGTTTGGGTCTAATCTCAAGAAGCCAGACACACTACACAGTTAATATGGCCATTAGATAGATTTGGAATCAGAGAATAAGAAACACATAATTTTGTCCAAGATCACCTGATAATAACAGGATCAAAATTAAGGTTTTCGGACAAGTACATTTACTTATCAACCTTTCCCCTTCAAGTCCACATTTTTTCCATGATACCATTTTGAACAACATTCATTTATTCAATTATTTAATCTAATATGAGCCAGGCATTAGGTATTCAATAATAAATAAGCCAGATGTCATTCATAAACAAATGAAAAATGACAGTCTAGGACATACATTAGTCAACTAATTATAAAATTAACAATGCAATTACAAGTGGGGTGAATAATACAAAAGAGACTGACACTGTAATAGAGGAATGTAGCCCAGTCTAGAGGTAAGGAAAACTTTTCCTTCAGGAAGAAAATGTCAAGTTTTCCTTGGTATCTGAGTTGAGTTCTGGAGTATAAATAGCATATAAACTAGAAGTACATCTATGCATGGGAAGTGGGATTAAAGGGAGATAAAAATTAACCCTCAGGTAGTAGAAACAGCATTGTAAATATCAAAGCAGAGGATGGATTGTGGTTCTTTAAAGCAGTTTTCAAATGTGGATTGATACCAATTAATGGTATCAATTACAATTACATAGAATAATAAAAAATAGATTACATACAGTTAGGGTGGGTATTGTTTTACAAAACTTTTGTAACAGCCCTAACTGGTTTGGCTCAGTGGATAGAGCGTCAGCTTGCAGACTGAGCGGTCCCAGGTTCGATTCCAGTCAAAGGGCATTTACCTGGGTTGCGGGCACATCCCCAGTAGGAGGTGTGCAGGAAGCAGCTGATCGATGTTTCTAACTCTTTATCCCTCTCCCTTCCTCTCTGTACAAAATCAATAAAATATATTAAAAAAACACTTTTGTAAAAGTTAAATGTATTTATTTTTATAGTATTGGGTCATGATGCAAAACATTTTTCTTACTCTGTAGCAGTCAGAATAGCTTAAAGCCACTGTTTTAAAGGACGGAGAAGAGGCCATTGGGGCTCCAGGCTGGCATAAAATGAAGCTGATGCTGCAAGCTGGTAACAGATAATGAGAGCCATGTTAACGATTTAGTCATTAGGCTAAGAGTAATGAAAAGCCATTTAAAGATTTTAAACAGGGGAGAAAAAATGGTAAAATTTAAACTTGAAAAGATTAACTCTATAATATGGAAAATAGGTGAGAATAAGGGGTCAAGAATAGTTAAAATGAGAATAATTCAAAAGCTATTGTACACATTAAGTGATGGATAATAATCTGGGCAAGAATGATGCAGAATAGATAGATTCAAAACACAAAATATAAAATAAGTTTAAAGAATACAAGTGCACACTGAAAATTTAACATATATATATTCCTAATATGCAAATTGTCCCTGTGGGAGTTCGACCGAGACTGATCGCTTGCTATGACATGCGCTGATGACTAGGGGGCAGCACGGAATGAAGGAAGGCCCCAGCCAGCAGCCAGAAGGCCCCTAACTGTGCACAAATTTCGTACACTGAGCCTCTAGTAATAGCATAAGAGACTAACAAGATGAAAAACATTATTAAAATAAGAAATTCAATGGACATTTAACAGCAAATTAGACACAGTAGAAAAGATCTTTAATGAACTAGAAGACAGATATCAAGAAATTACTCCAAATGAAATGCAGCACAGATGTCAGAGATAACAAAAATATGACAGGGAGTAAGGTTTTTCTGGAATAGAAACTCAAAAACTTGAGAACCAAGAAGAAGAAATATCCAAAGAAATAATTTTCTAGAACTGTTGTGAGACAAAAGCTATTTTCAGACATAGGAGGTCCAGTGAATTCCAAGCAGTATTAATTTTTTGAAAATTCACTTAGATATATATTGTAGTGACACTGCAGAACACCAATGAAAAGGAAATCCTACAAGCAACCTGAGGAAAAAAAGTCTAATTACAAAAGGAATAAACAAGAAAAAATTACACAAAATGTCCAAATGTTAAGGTTGCACTATAAAGGACAGATTATGGACAAAAATAACTGTCTAGGAAGATGATAGCAGTAAAAGCCTTCCTCACATTATTGGGGGGCAGAGATACTAATTTTAAGACTTCAAAATGTACATGTTGAAATTTGTAGGGTGACCTCTATAATAAAAATATAATGTTTAGATGCCTAACTAGTCGGAGAGAAAAATGGAACCATAAGGGGTAAAAATCCAAATTGGAAAAATAGAAAACTCATAATGATGATAGACATAACCCCATATGTTAGTAATCATAATAAAAGAAAATAAATTTATCTCTCTAGTTAACAGAAACATGACCACCAGACTGGTTCCTAAAACTCCAGACAAGCAAGACGATAAAAACACTGTATTCATAAACACTTCAATTAATTAATTATGGTATAAATCGGACAATGTTAATACTATGAAGAAGTGAAAAAGAATTAACTAAAGCCAAATACACCAACATGAATAAGTCAACATGGATGAATCTCAGTGTCTAGAAAAGCAAGACAGGATATCAAGTACGATTTCAACTAAATACATGTCAAAAACATGCAAAACTAAACATTGTTAGGAATACATATATAGGATAAAACCACAAATACAAATGAAAGAACTAACGCAAAAATCATGGTAGTGGTTACTTACAGGGGTGAAGAGAAAAATAAGATTAGTGAGAGGCCCACAAGCTCTTCCGAAGTACTAGGACCATTATATTTCTTAAGCTGAGTAGCAGGTAGGAGGCACTGGGTAAATGGGTATTGGTTTTATTTTTTTCCAAATAGATATATATATATATATATTCTTTTGTATATCTCCCATTTTTAAAAGCATAAACACAAATGCTTGTGAATGCATAAAATCTTTTAAAAAAGAGACAACTCTTTAATGTAATGTTCATGAACTCTTCTTCTTGGATGTGTCCCAGAGCCTGTAAAAAGCTGCTGTCACTTAGGAGTGTCTCACTATTTAATGGGAAAGAAACACACAAAAGAAAATTAATCAGTACATAATCTATGCTCTCTACAGCTTACTGGGACAGTTTACCTGTTATCAAACTTTAAAAATGCATATTAATGATGAACAAATGTTGGCAACGTGTAAAAATGGCCATTCTTCTTTTTTTTTGTTTTTGTAATTCTCACCCAAAAATATGACCCTATTGATTTCAGAAAGGGAGAGAAATACTGATGTGAGAAATATCAATTGGTTGCCTTCCATATGAGCTGGACCGGGGATAGAACCTGCAACCCAGGTATATGCCTGACTGGGATTTGAACCTGTAACCTTTTGGTATACATGAGGAAGCCCCAATCGAGCCACCCAGCTAGGGCTGGCCATTAGTTTATATAGTTTTTTTTTCTGATTGATACTAGGAATTCATACTGCATTATCTTTCAAAGTCCAGCAGTATGTGAAAAGAACAAAGTGGTAGAAAAAGCAAACATTAATTATGCATATAATGGACTAGAGGCCCAGTGCACGACATTCACGCACTGGGGGGGAGGGGAAGGGGCGTTCCCTCAGCCCGGCCTGCACTCTCTTGCAGTCTGGGACCCCTTGGGGTATATCTGACTGCCGGCTTAGGCCCACCGCTGCGCTCACCTAGCTTCTGGCTGAGTGGCGCTCCCCCTGTGGGAGCGCACTAACCACCAGGGGCCAGCTCCTGCATTGAGTGCCTGCCCTCTGGTGGTCAATACGTGTCATAGCTACGGGTTGTTCCACCATTTGGTCAATTTGCATATTAGGGTTTTATTATATAGGATAACCTTAAAGGAGCAGAGCGTAAATAGAAAAACATCCAGATAGTCATCATAGTTTTGTATGTTTCAATGCTTTGGTGTTTATTTTTTTTTGTGTGTGGAGCAACTAGTATCCAATGATACTGATAGAAAAAAAAATATAATAGCATGATTTAGTTTTGTGGATCAAGATCCTCATTTACAACTTAGTAATCATATATCCCTTCACCTACTGTAAATTTAGTCTCTAAGGATTCATAAGGCAATAATAATGTGAGGGGCAGTGTGGTATAACTGAAAAGGCGTTTCCAATTCCTTGCTTAAACATTAACTAGATATGACCTTAACACATTTCGTACCGCTCAGGAGTTTTCTCGTGTTTCGCCCGCCATCTGTTAAGGACCGCTCATGAGTGTTCTCGTTTTTCACGCCCATGGAAAAAGGAGCGAATCTAGATACTTAATGTAAATTTTGTTTGGTCCCTCTTCATAGAGGAAAATGTTTTATGCAGTACCATACGTTAAAAAAGTACTAGGAACTTTAATTGTTTATGTAAATAAAAATGTTATAATTATTGAAAAACACCTAAAGTGCATTATGATGATTTAAATAACGTGCAGTTTGCCCAAAAACGTGTGGTCCCTGGCATATGTCTTAGAGATTTCTATGCGGTACGCAATGTGTTAAGTAACCATCTGAGTATGCTTTCTCATCAGTAGTATACAAATATTAGCACCAAAATTTCAGTTTTCCAGGTACTCAAATGCTTGATTCCTTAGGGTTGTTTAGAGATATAGATGTGAAAATGCCTAACACACAGTAAAAAATATTAGTTTCCTATCATTCTTCCCTGGGGTTTTACTACTCCACTAAGGCACATTAACTAACTGTTGGACTTGCTTTTAACTACCGTTATCACGTAGAAATCTTTGCTATTAATGTAGCTTGGTTGAGCTACATTAAGATAAAAAGTGAGGATTAATGATGTCTCTAAGAACTTTTTACCCTTGTGTCACTGATAAAGAGGGAAACAGGCATTTTAACATTCATCCCATTTCTACATATCCTGAGTAATATATGCAATTTTATATAGTTTTACTTAACTATAGCTCTTATATACCTATACTTTTATAGATATATATATATTTCTAATATATCTATACTTTTGATAATGGAATTAGATCCTACACATGAGGTAGGGATCTGTTTCCAAGTAGTTACTCATATGCCACTTTTGAGTACTTTCTCTCTGAACCTTGACCATTTTGTACTACAAATGATCCTCTAAACTGGGTGTTTTCACAATACTGGTCAGAGATGAATAAAAAAGTACCATTTGGCTTGCCTTGACCAGTAATCCTCTCATTAGCTTTAGCTTTGGGATACAGTTGAGAACTACACTGCAAACCAGAGGTCTGAAACCATAGCACCTGGGCCAAATCAGACCTGTATTCTGTAAACTTAACTGAATGTCGAGGGTGGTCTAATCAGATGTCAAATAAAATAATATCCATATATCTTATCTCCATACCATGCCTTGAAAGCAGAAACAGAATTTTCTGTTATGGGACTGGTTTTTAATTCAACAACCAAAGAAAAAAATCAACCAGTTATGTGTAAAGGAGACTCAATCAGGACATGTTAAATACCTTGGGTGTGCAATAAACCATGTGCATTGTTTAAAATATTCAAGGAGGCATTTACAAAATTCAGCTTATGCCCTGGACAGGTGGCTATTCTGGAGGGTCATCCCATACACCAAAAGGTTACAGGTTCAATTCCCAGCCAGGGCACATATCTAAGTTGCATGTTTGATCCCCAGTTGGGGCGCATACAAGGGGCAGCTGATTGATGCTTTTCTCTCACATTGATGTTTCTCTCTCTTCCTAAAATTAATAGGGACATATCCTCAGGTGAGGATTAAAAAAAAAAGTTCAACTTACACTATTTAGTCTCTGTAGCTGCTTAGTGAATGACTAAGGAGCCACTTTAACTAAGAAATTAAGAAACAGCAGCTTTATGTGTCACAGCCCCCAAATACCTTTCAACAGGCACATGGTTATACAATGTGGTACATTAATACCAGGGAATACAACTTAGTAATACAAAGGAACAACTACTGATGTGTCTGACAGCTTGGATAGATTTCAAGGGCATTATGATGAGTAGAGAAAGCTAATCTCAAAGGTGACATTGTATAGTTCCATTTCTGTAATATTTTTTAATGACAAAATTATAGAGATGGATAACAAATTAGTGGTTGCCAGGGATTAGCATGTGTGGGAATGGTGGGGGGTACATGTGACTACAAAGAGGTAGCATGAAAGAAATCTTCACAATGATAGTTTGAGCTATGCACACACATTGTACAAATGTCAGTATCCTGGTTGATGATATACTATCTGCACTAATAAAAGACAAAGATGCTAATTGACCATACCTTTGCTACACCCTAAGCCATGCCCACCAGCCAATCAGAGCGACTATATGCAAGTTAACCCAACCAAGATGGTGAATGGCAGCCACAGAGCTGGAGCAAGCAGGAGGCTTGGTTGCCCGGGCAATGGAGGAAGCCAAGCTTCCCGCCTGCCCTGAGCCGGTTATGGCCTCCGCTCATGGCAACAAAGTTTCAATTATAGAAGCTAAATAAATCCCAGATACCTGCTTTCAGCCAGCCTCCACTGGGAGCTTCGGTGGCTGGGGGTTGTGGCCAGCCTGCAAACAGCCATCAGCCCCTCACCCAGGCTGGCCACACCCTCATGGGGTGAGGGTCCCCGCTGGGGGGCTTAGCCAGCCTGAAAACGGCCCTCAGCCCCTCACCCAGACTGTCCAGGCACCCCAGCAGAACCCCCCACCCTGAAGGGGCTATGGCCAGCCTGCAAACGGCCCTCAGCCCCTCACCCAGGATGGCCAGGCACCCCAGTGGGGACCCCCACACTGAAGGGGCTGTGGCCAGCCTGCAAACAGCCATCAGCCCCTCAGCCAGGCTGACCAGGCACTCCTATATAATAAAAGGGTAATATGCAAATTGACCCTAACAGCAGAACAACTGGGAATGACTGGTCACTATGACACACACTGACTACCAGGGGGCAGATGCTCAATGCAGGAGCTGCTCCCTGGTGGTCAGTGCGCTCCCACAGGGGGAGCTCTGCTCACCAACAAGCCAGGTTGACGGCTGCCAGTACAGTGGTGATGGTGGGAGCCTCTCCCGCCTCCTCAGCAGAGTTAAGGATGTCCGACTGCAGCTACCACCTGTGGGCCTAAGCCAGCAGGTGGTCATCCCCTGAGGGGTCCCAGACTGCGAGAGGGCACAGGCCAGGCTGAGGGACTCCCTCCCCCCGAGTGCACAAATTTTTGTGACCGGGCCTCTAGTAGTAACATAAATGGAAAATACTGGGGGAAACTAGGTTTAGGTTACAGGGGCTCTCTTTGTAATGTTTTTGCAACTTCCTGTGAATCTACAATTATTTCAAAATAAAACGTTAAAAAACACATATACTTGTATACACAAGGAAGTTCACAAGATAATGAAACACAGCCAATTTTATTCAAATTCTCCAAAATTTATACTCAATATGTTGTTTCTGCAATGTATGTCACCCTTTATATAATGGACTTATTATCTTCACTTTATAGTTTTCTTGTTTTTTTTTTCTTTACAGTTCTTCAGTAGAAGCCAGAGTCTTGAGTTGCCCAGTTAGGAGCCTAAAATATAAAAAAAGAGAGGGTAAAAAAAAAGTAATTTTTGAAAAAACTTAGAAAAAGTGACACTACCATTTCCTTTTAGCACTATTCCTGCCAAACCATTCTCTAAGATTTTAACAACCTCTGCATCTGTTAAATGTCAGATGTTCCACTTAGAACAAAATAAACATATCAAAATACCATCTGATATTTTTGACCAATTAATTAAGTATAACAATGACAATATCAACAATCTACACTAATAAAAGAGAAACATGGTAATTAGCGTACGACCGCTACCCTTTTCATTGGCTAATCAGTGAGTATATGCAAATTAACTGTCAGCCAAGATGGCGGCCGGCAGCCAGGCACTGAAGCGAGCAGGGAGGCTTGCTTGCTGCAGACTCCAACGTTCGCTGCCTCACTTGCCAGCCTCTCAGCTGCAAGTCTAAGCAACTATATACTATGTTGCAAATAAGAAGCTAAACAAAACCCCAGAAAA